CACAGGATGACAACAGTTTCACCGGATATAAGTAACACCCTAATATATATATATATATATATATATATATATATATATATATATATATATATATATATATATATATATACACATTCATACACATATATATATATATATATATATATATATATATATATATATATATATATATATATATATATAAATAAGTGGATAGCGGCTTGGATTGAGGAATCGCAGAGCCGAGTTCGAATTCCAGTCGAATCCATTAGATTCACTTGCGTGCTAATACCCTTGGGAAAGGTATGTATCCTCTTCATCTCCCTCCAGCTATGGGTAAAATAGCAGGACAGACTGGGTTCTATAGCCTTGGATGGCAACTGGTCTAGGAGAAGGACAACTCTGAATTCAAAACCTACGGAGGGTCGTTTGGGAACCTTGTGGCATGCATTCGGTGCAACAGGTTTCTGTATTCGTCCCTCCAAAAAGTGTGGCTGGTCCTGCACGAGGCCTTCACCACTATAATCAAATCTCATGCGCCGGTGTCGGGATGTCGGTTTCCTGGGGACTTATCGGCCTGACCCTCATACGTCGAACGCGACGGGAGAGTCGATTATATATATATATATATATATACATTAATAAATATATATATGTATATATATATATAAATATATATATATATATATATATAGTTTTAAGGTGTGATATATTTATGGGATAAAGTGATCAATATCAGTGATAGAGTGTATGTAAATATAAATATAAAAGTTAACATGGAAATCAACACTCAGAGGCGACAGGCTGTTTTCATACTGGACGCAATAATATATATATATATATATATTTCGGATTTTGCATTGAGCACTCTTTGGGACTGCATCTTAAACGCGTTTACAGCCTCTTTTTACAATATATTATTTTATATTCTAAATACATACATACATACATACATACATATATATATATATATATATATATATATATATATATATATATATATAGGGCGTCATCGGAATAAAAAATTTTCAATTAAGTCCTTAAGAACGAAACGCTTTAGACAATTTTTTCCCACTATGTTATTGTTTTTCCGGATATTGTTCTAGCATATAAAATTTATAAAACTTTTTCTTTAGCTTTGATCTTCGAAAATGTAAATGCGGCTTAAATCATTATCCTATATTTCTTCATTCCTGCTCTTCTCACTCAGTAACCCCTCCCCTTGAGTCTTAGTGGCTTTAGTGCCTTGTTTGAAGTGAAATGATTAGCAACAAATATCAGTTTGGCGCTAAGTCAATATTCAAAACGTACGACAATTAATGGCTTTCGAATGATGTGTACAAAGCCATTGGCGTTGAAAAACATTTACTGTTTCTCATAATGAAATGTCATTATTATTATTATTATTATTATTATTATTATTATTATTATTATTAGTTGTAGTATTTGTAGTAGTAATTGTTTACATCTTAATTTTCCCAAATGCCTCTGTTATTGTAACTTTAACCAAACTGTCAATCGTTTTCGACCATCTATATACGCACTACTGTAGATCGACGGCGGAATTTGCGATAAAAAGCCGCTAAAAGGGTAAGATGTAACTATATATTTATCATAATTTATTATAATATGTTTGATAAAACTTCGTCTAACAGAATGTAAAGATAATAATGTTTCACGTATTTCTTGATTATAATCACGTTTGGCACACGGCCACGATCAGAGAGAATACACTTGCGACACTTGCAAAACCAATACAAGTGCTTATATCTTATCTTTTAAAAGATACTTCCTGGATTATACTAAGTTTGGCACAATATGACGAAAAAAGAGCGCTTTGTGTGAAATGAACTCATTAGCAATGAATTACTAGACGACCTTGACAATCACTTATCTCCTGCATCTAAAATAACGTGTTCAGTTGTGGCTTAACAGAAACGAAGGAATTCCTTGCCTCAAGCCCTTAAATAACCCAGAAAAAATCTCATTGCTGAAATCGGATTAAGGTTTTTGCTGACCTATAAAACACATGTTTTATGACGGTAGATTTTGGATACCGCTCGTTACAAACCAGCCTCAAGCTATCACAATAATTGGTTCCCAGCCATAGAGTCTTCGAAGCAACGAATTCCATGTTGTTATGTTAAAATTGTTCCAAGTTGTCTGAAACCTAAAGTTTGTTTATTTTGAGTATTCCATGTAATTTTGACAATGAGTCTTAGACTTTTATTGTTCTTCCCACTTCAAGTCGTCTGTTTAAATATTTCCATTATTTTATGAGAATTTTCAGCTTTTTGTTCATTTTTGACAACATTTAATATTCAGAATCCATGAAAATGACTGATGAAAAGCAATAAAATGTTTTACGAAATATATATATATATATATATATATATATATATATATATATATATATATATATATATTGCAAGTGTATAAAAGTTTATTAAAATGAAAAAAAGGAATATTTCTAAAACAAGAGGAACATTTATTTATTTGTCACTCTTTTAACGGGTAGTAAAAATATTACTACCACGAAGTAGTAATATCTTAATGCAATCCGATTAAAAACGACAGCTAAACTGGTTTATCGAACCTCTCTAATCAAAGAAGATTGGGAATGAAAAATTTGCCCAACGACTAAATATAAACCTAGAACCAAATGCTATAAACAAAAAAATAGCTGACACTTACGGGCTAATTACATGTAAGACGACTACATACTAATTCGACTTACAGAAAGTTGGCTGGTAGGACTTAATATATGTAGATTTCTCTACTATCATTATTTACATTATTTGGACTATTGTCCTCATTTGTCGCCATATTTATCACAAGGACAAATGGCACAGTGGATAAAGGCGTTGGTTAGATCCAGTGACAGGACCCAAAGAGTGTGAGTTCAATACTCGGTTAAGGCAGTGGAAAACTTTCAGAGGGAAATTAACAGGAAATAACCTACCCCAAATAAAGCTTTCAGTTCGACATTCCAACCACCTGAAGAAGGAGCGTACAACGGCCGAAACGTTATGATGAAGATGGCGACAAAGATGAGGACAATAGTCCGAATAATGTAAATAATATACATAGTACCTCATCTCAGAAATATAGACGTTCTCTACTTTCAAATTGCATTCCGAATTAGACTCGCTCAGTACTGAAAATATTTCCTGTCTATAAAACCTGGATTATTGCTGGTTTTTAATCATCTATCGTCGAACTAGTTGTATTCACGTTCCTATGCAAATTGTCCAGCTGTGTCTTTTCTATAAATATTTTCATGGTAATTGGTCTAATGGGCTTTATTCGTTGTCACCTCGACTTTACGAATTTAAGCCCAGATTGGCAAGTTAGTCGCATCATTTTACAGTTGAAATTGCTAGAGGTAACAGTAGAGTTTATTCTAACAGTTTCTTCTCTGGCACAACTTGCTTATAGAACTCTCTTCTAGATTCTTGCTTTCCAGTGAACGTTGATCTTCCAAAATTTAAATGCAATTTTTCTCACTCCTTAATGATGTTTCTCTTTTTCTCATATACTTTCACGCTTTTGTAACCCTTTGGAGCTTTTTTTTTTTTTTTACTAATTACATTTTTTACTAACGAGGCCCAAGATCCACTCAAGGTAGAGGGTTACTGTGTAGATTTGTATTTGTGTAAAAACTAGCGAGACATCAGGAAAGTTAGGCAGCTAATTCTTGGTTTGAAGAGTTCAAGATTTAATTAGCGAATAAAATTTCAGCGTTCTGTCGAAGCTATTACAAGTATAGAGTTGAAGTAGAATTTACAATGAACCAGAAGCACAATCCTAAACAGGAAACAAGGGATAAACCTCTACTTCTGTTCAACCGAGGAGAAGTGTGAACCGTAGGTTTTATGTCAGTAGCTTCTTCTTTCGCACTTGTTGCTTGTAGGACTCTTCTGTTTTCCAGTCAATTTTGATCTTTAAAAGTTTAACTGCAATACAAATTCTCATCTACTTTATTCTTAATTCCTGTTCTTTTGTCGTTCCTTTTTCTTCAAAATCTTTTCTTTTCCTCGTAATTCTTTCACGCCTAGTAACCCCTTTCGTTTTATTGGCTTTATTAAAAAAATAATTATGGATTTTACTTTGACAAAACATTCGGGATACATAATAACCTATATTTTCCTGTGCAATACTATTTAATATTTCAGCCTAAAAATATATATTTACTTTATTCAGTAATAAGGAGTGCCCGAGAAAAGCTATAATAACAACGAAAATTGGAATATGATAACAGCAAAAGTTGCAGTATAAGCACTTATAAAAAAATGATTGCTGAAGACATTAGGTTTTTAATAACTAGAAATACACACACAATATCCTCAAGGACACATGGCACAGTTGATAAAGACAGGACCCAAAGAGTTGTGAGTTCAATAACCGGTTAAGGCGGTAGAGAAATTGGAGAGGGGAATTAACAGGAGATAACTGACATCTATTAGGCATGGCACGTGGAACTAGAACAATCTACCCCAGAGAGTGAAATAAAGGGTTATGTTCGACATTCCAACCACCTGAAGAAGGTCGGAGCATACGAAGGCCGAAACGTTGCGATAAATATGGCAAAAAAGATGAGGACAATAGTCCGAATAATGTAAATAGTGTACATAATACCTCATCTCAAAAATATAGACAGTTATTTTATTCTCTATCGTTACTTGGTATTATTGAAAAGTCAAAGAAATAATTCTGGAGTTGATTTTTGACCATTACAATTGCTAAGTTAAAAACCAAATAAAAATACTTCTCTAATTCAAATGTTCGATGTAGAAAAGCTAAAAGAGCAACAAACTCCAGTTGTATTGCCCTGTTTAGGGTGCAAATATTTTAAAAATGCCCTTGCAAATATGGGCTAGTACATTTGGCCCGAAATGATATTTAAATTGACAAATTCTCGAGTTTGTATGATGTACAGGTAGAAAATCCTTCTGCATCAGTTTCAACATTAGTCAAACAAGAAGATAAAAACAATCATTTTCAAAAGGTGGATGTGTGATATGGATTATCACCCCTTATACGTATTTTATATTTACCTCGGACACACTCAGGTACTGAGTCTCGTAGGGAGAGTGTAGCCAGCTACCCCACCCAGTGTATACGGGTTTCTACGGCGGGTTTTTACCCGATCCTACGGGATCAGTTCACCCACATTAAATTCGGCCTTGTGCCATATCTGACGGCGTTAGTGAATATATTCTAAGTTTAATAAAGCTTCTGATAATTCATACCTGCGTCCGTTTGGTTTGGTTTGGTTTGGTTTGGTTTACGGCATATCAACCTCCATCTGTCATTTAATGTTGACAACTTTTTTTTCTTGGTAATATTTTCGTTTTGTCAAAAATCTATTTCTGTTAATATTTTTTTCCTCAAAAACGTATAATGGTAATATTACAGTTTCGGGGCCGACCACTTACCCACAGCTTGGACCCCAACAGATGCCACCACCCCGGGTCAGGGTGGATCCGGGAACACCAGCAAGTAAGAGGCGGCTCCACGCCCCTCAAAACCTCTCGATCAGAGGCCCCGCTGTTGGACGCAGTTCATCATCCCACCCAGGACGCGGATGTATTTTATCGTCATACACAGGACGCGGATGTCGTTTATCGTCATACCCAGGACGCGGATATAGTTTGTAGTCATACCCAGGACCTGCGTCCATATTCTCACTATAGGGATTTTCTGGTAGAGAACCCTTCCCTTGTCGGTGACTTTGGGGGGCAATATACTCACGGTTCAAATGTAGTAGATACTCGAATACGACTGTTTTTTATCGCTTTTTTTTCTCTCTTCTTACTGCAGGAATTTGTTGGGCATTAGTAGCTGTTATTAATCAGCAATACCCACGAGGTCAGGACGAAAATTAAGTGGTTTTAAAGAAAGTCATTATTTAAAAACATTTAAATTATCCTTTGGGATTTAAGTTTTGGTTGGAATGCCATAAAATAGACCTCCTTGTTTTCAGATTGTTACTTCAGTCACCGACCTAAGCTGGCAAGTGCTATGTCGACCAACGTCCTTCTCTTATTCAATCTAGCTTATTCATGGTTCTAAAATGACTTGTAAATAGAATTTCGAAATACATTTAATACCCAGAAAGGAACGTTCTGCCAGAGGCACTTTACAAATCGAAATATCTAATTTTCCGTCACCAGAAATTGTTTCCATGTGCCGGTGTTTCAATTCTGTTGCGTTGGGTTTAATATTGAAGACAGAATGTCTCTGAGACGTCTTGGTGATTGGCTAATAGAAAAAGGCACCGGCAAATAAAAAAAAATCAACCTGCTTTATATTTTAAAAATTAAATTCCAAACTGTGTCTGGATAATTTTCTTTTTAGTTTCTTTATAATGAAAGAAGAGATTATAATGATTCGACCTTTCACAAGACGTAGAAAAAAATTACGTAATGTGCATTTCCGGCTTCGAGGCTTCTCCATCTTTGTTGGTTGTCTATATTTTGTCATAGCCATTTTTAAATAATCCAGATTATTTTCTAATTCTGTTTCTAGATTGGTTTGGCTTGTTTTGTTTTATGACATATCAACCTCAATGGGTTATTTAATGCCGACAACATTTTTAGGATAGATTCGTATGAACAGAATATGTATTCTTTGGTTTAGATTGGTTTGGTTTATTTTGTTTAACGGCATATCAACCTCAATGGGCTATTTAATGCCGACAACAATTTTAGGATAGATTCGTATGAACAGAATATGTATTCTTTGGTTTAGTTTATTTTGTTTTACAGCATATCAACCTCAATGGGTTATTTAATGCCGACAAAATTTTCTTTGTTGGTAATAATTTTTTTCCAAAAATCTATTTCTGGTAATATTTTTTTTTCCAAAAATCTATTTCTGGTAATATTTTTTTTTCCTTCAAAAACCTATTTCTGGTAAGAATTTTCCTTCTCTGGTAATATATTGCTGGTAATATTTTTTTTACAATGTATTTCTGGTGTTAAACCCTATTTTTACACTTTCATAGCGTTTTGACCCGAGTTTGAGAGTTAACTATTTGCCCATATCTGGGACCATAACAGGTGCTACCACCCCGGATCAGGGTGGACCTGGTAACATCAACAATTAAGAGGTGGTTCCACAGTTCTCAAACCCTCGTGATCAGAGGCCTTGCTGTCGGATGTAGTTTATCGTCTTAACCAGGACGCCGGATGTAGATTATCGTCATACCCAAGACAGTCTGTTTCTAGAACAGTGTAACATATAAAAAATTACTCGAAATAGAAGAAAGATCCTGTGCCCCTTTCCACCCGCTACACATTAGCAACGAAAAGGCAAACAAGAAACTTCTCGGAATCAGGAAGCGACAGCTGAAATTTATGGGACATATAATGAGGAAAGAGAGTTTGGAGAATATGACACTCCTATTATATATTGAACGTAAAAGGACGGGTAGTCTGCGAACCACCTGCCTGATCAGTTTGTGTGAATGTCTCATCAGAAAAGCCTGGTGGTGAAACCGGTTTAGTTAACAATGACCCACACATGTGACAGGAAGTATTGTGTTACATTCTAACAGTAGCGCTCGTAGAGTAACATAACTCTTGCTGCGTTCTCTTTCACATAAATACACTTGGTAATGGCACGAATTCCTCCTTTTCTCCTATGTGTTAAACGGCGATTGGAATAGACTTTCTAGCATTGGATGGTAACCAGTCTAGGATAAGAACAACTCTTGATCTAAAAAATGTGGTGCAGGCAATAAGAAACATACTTCATTATATTCCCCAAGAATTTATGGCAATTCAAAGTTAATAAAGAAAAGATATCCGTGGAGAGACAAAATCGCGAGTTACATAGCATTTTAATAGACAATACAATGTTACATTATTCGGACTATTGTCCTCATCTTTGTCGCCATATTTATTACAACGTTTCGGCTGTTGTACGCTCCGGCCTTCTTCAGGTGGTTCAAATGTCGAACTTAACCCTTTATTTCGCTCACTGGGGTAGAATGTTCTAGTTCCACGTGCCATGTTTAATGGATGTCAGTTATCTCCTGTCAATTTTCCCCCAAGGACACATGGCACAGTGGATAAAGGCGTTGGTTAGTTCCACTGACAGAACCCAAAGAGTGTGTGTTCAATACCTTGTTTAGGCAGTGGATAACTTTCAGAGGGATAAATAGGACAATAGTCCGAATAATGTAAATGTTGAACAGTTAGTGGACTTGAGAAACCTATTTTCCTAAACAAATTTTTTTAAAAGAAGTATTCTATAAATTTCTGCCGAGGGTCGCACTGGCCGAATGTAAACTGATAATATTATTATTAGTTATAAGTAATCTAGAATTCTAAGTAGGTTCTGTAGCCTTTGATGACAACCAGTCTAAGAGAAGGAAAAGTCTGAATTTTAAACAATGGAGAGAGAAAACGGAAAACATTCCTTACAGGAAAGCAAGAGACACAGATAATAAGGTAAAAACAATCTGAGATGTCATGAACGATTCAGGACGTTTTTATATGCAGAAAGATATGTCTAGTTTATATGCAAATACAAGAGGCAGAGCCGGTGGGGTACTACTCCCGAATGCCTCTGAATTTTGGACGCCGAGCAGTACCTTGTGACCCTCGCCATCTTATCAATATTTGCTTGTTTTTAAGAAAATTCCCAGGGCACATCCACATTGTTTAATAGTTAGCAAACTTGTCTCGCTAGAACTATTATAACTGAGTTCGATCCTCACTAGGTATCCCATACTTTCGCCATAGTACCACAATGAAGCTGCACTTAGAAAATCATCATAATTAGATTACAATAAAATTTGTTTTTTATATGAATATTACCTTATGGAAACTGACACGTAATAGCGTTGCGGGTGAGGTACACGTATACTGGATGAATTTAGGAAAATTCAGCTATTTTGACAAGGTAGGAAAATTCGCTATGAAATAAAAGTCTATAGAAAATCGATTTAAGGACCGATCTGGAGTGGGGAGCTGAGGGGGGGGGGGCTATATTTTTAAAATAACTGAAAGCTGAGCTATATTTTTAAAATAACTGAAAATCTTGAGGTCCAAATAAACCACACTACAATAATACCAGGGCCGTACTCCCCCAATATTTTTTTAAAGTATTATTAACAATGGGGGTTTTGATAAAACCCCACTGCAAAATTACCAGGTCTGTACCTTCTGGAGGGGGCTAGTGTCCCCATACGTTTAAATGAATATTTAGTAAAAAAAATCATGGGTTCCAATCCAGATAAAACCCCACTGCAACAATACAAGGGGTGTACTTTCTGGAGGGGGATTGAGGAAGCTAACCCCCTCCAATATTTTTAAATAAATATTTTTTAAAAGTATTTATTTAATTACTATTTTATATTGTTTTCAAGCAAATAAAATCAGTTTATCTAAGTTAAAGTTAAATTCTTGTATCTTCTTTTCAAATTCCTATAAAAAAAAAAAGTAAATAAATTAAGTTTTGAATATTAGATTCTTTTTTAAAGAAGTACAAACTATATATCCTTACTATCTATTTCAAATATATACCTTGTCAAAATTACCGAATTTTCTGGGCACTATAATAGATTCTGGGGTCTGTATCATAGATTGGCAGTGGTGGGGGTGGAGGTCACGATACTCTTGAACCGGAGTTGACTACATTTTTCAAAAGAGATTTGAGCAACCGCGTATTTTGGCATCCGTGTGGGGATCTTGGAACCGATTTACCGCGGATATCGAGAAACCATTGCATTTTCTCTCCAGTTTTTGCCTCCCGGCATCTCTCCATCTTTTTTTACATGACTTCACTTCCAAAAGGGAAACTCATTGAAAAATAGCTCCCCTCTCCCCTCTCTCTCTCTCTCTCTCTCTCTCTCTCTCTTTCTTTTCCCACTCTCTTTCCTTTTAATCTCCTCTTACTCCATCTCTAGTCAAACAACTCCTTTTGCTGTTTGACCAGCCGCCACCCCCACTGGACTGCCCCAGTCCAACATTAACCCTTTTTACTTCCTGTCGACATGTGGCTGCCCGTT